CAATTTGTTCAAATCTATCTATCTATCTATCTATCTATCTATCTATCTATCTATCTATCTATCTCAATCTGTTCAAATGTACCTATCTATTCGCTCAAATCTATCTATAAATTCAAATGTATTTGTTTGTTCAAATCTATCTATCTATCTAAATCTGTTCAAATCTTTCTATCCTGTTCAAATCTATCTATCTATCTATCTAAACCTGTTCAAATGTACCTATCTATTCGTTCAAATCTATCTATAAGTTCAAATGTATTTGTTTGTTCAAATCTATCTATCTATCTATCTATCTATCTATCTATCTATCTATCTATCTAAATCTGTTTAAATCTTTCTATCCTGTTCAAATCTATCTATCTATCTATCTATCTATCTATCTATCTATCTATCTCAATCTGTTCAAATGTACCTATCTATTTGTTCAAATCTATCTCTAAGTTCAAATCTATCTGTTTGCTCAACTGTGTTTATCTATCTATCTATCTATCTATCTATCTATCTATCTATCTATCTATCTCTTCAAATGTATCTATTTATCTATCTATTTGTTCACGTCTATCTATAAGTTGAAATCTATCTATTTGCTCAATTCTATCTATCTATCTATCTATCTATCTATCTATCTATCTATCTATCTATTTGACTAGGCTTGTGGCCGAGTAATTGGAACGTTTACTTTTAGCCCCTGAATCCATGCTTCGTCTCTTCCCGTGGCTGGTTTGTCGTTGCTGTGACTTTTAATGTTATCAGTCTCCAGTTGTGCTTCTCCTTTAGCCATTTTTAAATGCGGCTCTAATTTTCGTAATAATTTTTAATATGTTTCTGTTTTGTTTCCCATACTCTGCTGTTTGAGAGTCATATTTTATTTTGTCGTAGTAATTTCATTCTTGGTTGATTTTTTTTATTATGTGTATCTAACTTTATGCACGTATATATATATATATATATATATATATATATATATATATATATATATATGTGTGTGTGTGTGTGTGTGTGTGTGTGTGTGTGTGTGTGTGTGTGGATGAAATTTAACTCAACTCCACCGAGACGAATTTCTCACGCACACATTTGGTAGCAAGTTTTTCGTGTTAAATCAAGTACAATACATTCTAACATTTTAAAAAATACGATTGAAAATCTATCAATAACCAGTGACACGGAAACAAGTTAAATATTCATTCAGGCTTTCTTTCAGAAAGAGTTACTTGTGAAAATCGAGGAAGAGATTTCTTTTCTTTATTGAAAGAATCCAAATTAAATAAAAACAATTCCCAAAACCTTAATTTCTGAGACACGGAGGAAGATACAGAATAGATATTCAAAAGTAGACGGAATCAGTAATTTCTTTCCTATGCCAAAGTTATTTTTGCTTATTTCATTTTTTTAATCAGTATCACTCTATAGAAGGCAGTAAAACTGTTGTGGATTCCGGGAATAGAATCCTGCACAAATAAATAAACAACGCCAGTAATTGGGATAGAAAAAAATAAGTGTATTAAACGTAAGAATACAGACTTGAAGTAAAGATTAGTAGTCCAAGAATGCGGGTTAGTAGAAAGTATATGTACAATCTCTGTAAGTAAAGCCGTAATCATCTCTCTCTCTCTCTGGACTCTTGTATAACTCTCTGTGAACACCCTGTGTCCGTCTCTGTATTTCTCAACGTATCTCAACGTATCTCAACATCATCTTGACCATTGGGAACAATTGTGTACAAATATCAAAGGAAGTTGGTACTCTAGTTCTCTTCTAATTGATAGCCTTACCTGTCAATGTGGGTTTATCGCACGCAGTAAAGCAGGACTTGCTCTACAATCACTAGAAACATGGGGCAGTGAAACGGATCTACCACTTGTTCCATGTTTGCTCAAACGTTTGTATAGACGAGGAGCAGGACAGGTACCAAGGCTTTATTTTCCCAGGAAGAAAAGTGGATGCTCATGGCGCATCCAAATGTAAACAAATGACGTCAAACATTATGATATGAATGTACGTGAGAGAATCATGGAAGACTACGTGAGAGAATCATGTTTAAAGACAGTAAAATCGACCTTGCTAACCAAACGCTCCTCTGTGGCCAAATCGGTTAAAAGCACGTCAGGCTATATGACGGTTGCGTATAGGATACAGGTTCGATTCCTGTCGGAGGACGAATATTTTCTATGAAAATTTCTCGGACATTCAGGCTGGTAAATGTTGCTTAATACTGTTTAATATAAACAGAGCATTTAATTAAATATTTGTATCTATAAAGAGAATGTATGAACATAAAAATGTCTTAAAATAATTGTCGGACTTTTTCTATGTCATAACATATATATATTCAGTTGAATGGATATTAGTTTGTAATCCTGTATTTCACGCTTTTGCGATCATCAGAAAAACTGGTTTAATTTTTTATAAAGTTGATCTATTTATGCTTATTTGTGTTTGTTTATTTGAGTGTGGTGGAGGGGATATTCTTTTATGTTTGTTTGGGATGTGACTCTCACATAAATAGACACACATACTTACAGGTGTATGCATCTTAGTTCGTAAAATCACACCCATATAAATAACCTGAGTTTTGGCGCAGATACACATCCATGCGTACGGGGATAGATATATACGCAACTATTATTCTATTTCGATGTCGAGACTTTAGTGTTACATATGTAGCAATGTCCTCTCAACAAGGAACAAGTGGTCGTGGTTGCGGGGGGGTCAGATCGGATTTGCGTCTGATATCGTCACATAGCAAATCGTAAATTCATAAAGCAGTTTTATGATGTCGTACCACGAGAAAGAACGAAATATTAACACGAGAACTATATGCAATATATATATATATATATATATATATATATATATATATATATATATTTACCAGATTATATATATATATATATATATATATTTACCAGACTCCATTAGAACATACTAGTAGAAAACACAAATATATTAACTGAATCCACCTGCAAAATAAGACTAAAAATAATGAAAGCTTTAATAATAAAAAAGAAAAAGCCAACTCTTAACAATATTAACTACGAACAAAGCCACAATGTGCTAACCGTATTCGGAAATTAAAAAAAAACATCCCTACCACACACTAATACATACACAGAACGCACACAATCAATTAAGCTGAAAAATCAAATCATCCTTGATAATGTCTAAAGGTATAGCCGAAAGCGCTCGGAAATATAAAACATTTGGACAGTTCTTACACACCCTTTGTCCAGAAAAGAAAGCTCTTGTTCGAACACAAGAAAAATTAAATAAAAAGATTAACCGTAATACATTGTCTGTCGTTTTTAATGAAACAAACACACACACACACGCACACACACACACACACACATACATATATATATATATATACATATATATATATGTATATATATATAAATTGTGTGTGTGTGTAAACTCTTATCACCAGTTCAAGAAAGTCATTTGAATCCCTACCACGCAAAACATTCGTTTTTATATGTGGAAATATCTATTCTTTACTTGAAGAATGTCGCAGAACCAGAAACCCGTGTAGCAGAATTATGGATAATAGAGTATAGTATATATTTTAAAAAAATCCACATTTCAACCAAAAATGTTTGATGTTTATCATCTTTTCAAAATATACACTTTTCTCTCGTGGGAAAACTATAACCTCTTCCATATATATATATATATATATATATATATATATATATATATATATATATTAGAGTGTAGGTTTTTAACCTAAAGAAACAATTTATACAAAGAATTAAATAAAAATGTTAATGTGATTAATGACAAATCACTTCGCTAACAGAAGTTAATGTGACATTAACTTTCTATCAATACTTTGAACAGATAAATACATATAACAAGAAAATTTCGTGGATTTATAATTTTTCAAAATTCCAACAAAATTATCACTTGATGGATTTGAACAAGAACACTAGCGTCGCGGGATCTCACACTCCAAAACATATATTCCAACTGTCAATAAATAGCATAATTTAAAACAAAATCCTCTTTCGGTCTACACATGTTTCATCTTTGCCTATGTATAGGAAAATAATGTAAACAAATGACGTCATAGACTATGAAATCGACAAAGTCCGACAATTATTTAAGATATTTTTTTTTATGTTTATACGTTCTTTTTTTCGATACAAATATTTAAGTAAATGCTCTGTTCATAATAAACAATATTAACAACATTTACTGGCGTGAATATCCGAGAAATTTTCATAGAAAATTCATGTTCTCCGACATAAATTAAAAATGTCTTAAATAATTGTCGGACTTTGTCCATTTCATAATGTTTGACGTCATTTACATTTGGATACGCATTGAGCAGATATGAATGAATGAGAGGAAATCATGGAGAATTGTGTTTAAAAACCGCAAAATCGACCTTGTTCCTCCGTGGCCCAATCGGTTAAGGCACGTCAAGGTATATGGCGGTTCCGTATAGGATACCGGTTCGATTCCTGTCGGAGGACGCATATTTTCTATGAAAATTTCTTGGACATTCAGGCCGGTAAATGTTGTTAATACTGTTTATTATAAACCGAGCATTTACTTAAATATTTGTATCTATAAAAGGAACGTATAAACATAAAAAATGTCTTAAGTCATTGTCGGATTTTGACCATTTCAATAAATATTCTTCAGTAGTTTTTATATCCTTTATACCTATTGAATTATACTGTTTTGATTTGAGATAATGCTCATTAGTGAAACATTTTCGAGTTCTGATTGTCAGGGTAAAATTAGTAGACCCCCCCACCCCTGTCCGCCTTCAGCTTCAACCTTGTGTGGTTAGGGCATCACCATCTCTTACACATCCCATTTGGCCTGTGCTTAGTTAAACTTTATAAATTTCAATGGATACGTTATCTTTATCACCTCATCAGGCTAAATAAATAAAAAAAACTTACTTTTTGGGATTCAAACAACAAAATCGATTCATTTCCATAATAAAAAGCCGAGTCGTAAATCCGGAAAGAATTTTACGCATTCAAATGTCCGATATCGACCTACCCAAGCGACACGTTTTCATCCCTTTCTCTATGACTGTCATTATTCCTACGACGAGGCAATTCTTTCATTCAATCGCTACTTTTCGATTCCCAACATTTTTCATAAACCGGGATTGTTCCCATCTAACAATGAAACCCCGGAAGTTTTGAGCGCGGATTTTGCGCCCGCTTTCTTTTTCTTTCAGGCTGAAGCTTTTCGGGAGAATAAAAGGAGAATGCATTTTGTGGTTTTTTTTGCAATTTCTTCTTCTTATATATATATATATATATATATATATATATATATATATATATATATATATATCTATTCTATCTAAAGTCTGTCTGGAAAGACATGAGGATATAAGCCTTTCCTCTCTCTTTTATCTCTCTCTCTCTGTATATATATATATATATATATATATATATATATATATATATATATATATAGAGAGAGAGAGAGAGAGAGAGAAAAAGGTAGATTATTATATTTTCCCCTCTTTATAACTTTATAAATATATAATTTCCCTCTCACGCTTTCTGTGTCAATCTATTTGTCTATGTATGTATGTATCTATCTTTTAATCTATCTATATGCATATAAATATATATTTTTTTGCATAATTCACCTGTTAAATGTGTTTTATTTAACCTATTCCTCTGAAAATTGTGTTTTAGATTCCTTTTATTGTGCTTATTAATATATAAAGACCCTGGCATCATACGCGCATTAGATCATGAGTAATGGATGGGTAATGGATAAAAATGTTTAAAAATGATTGGTGTACAAATAATTTCGTCGTTGACTATATATATATATATATATATATATATATATACATATATATGTATATAAGGGTAGAGAGAGAGAAAGGGGGAGAGGGATTGTATCTTTATCTTTCTCTCTTTCCAGATAGACTTTTATATAACATGCAGATCAAATACACGTCTCTTTCTCTCTTCCTCTCTTTCTTACGCGCGCATGCGCACACACACATACACACACATGCACACACATTGATAGAGTTTAAAATCGTTTCCTACTCAGGCGCTTCTTTTCCACAAACGAAATATCGCAAGCTTAATTTTAGTCTACTGATGATTCCATGAGAAATATTCGGATGGGATTCATTTTTAGTTCCACCAGTTCACGAGATTTCAGTTCACGAGATTTCAGTTCACGAGATTTACACATGAGACACGTAATACTACTTTTAGAAAGTCGAAACAACCTCATTGCCCCCATGTTTCAAATGTAAAAAGAAAATTCTACTCTGTCTTTTCCAAAGAACTGCATCTATATCGAAACAGACTCAGGCGCGGATGCTTCCCTGAATTGTTAAACCCTTCAGGCCAAGGGTCAATCGTTATCTACCCTTCTTATCCGCTTATACATTCTACTACATCCTCATTGATACCAGCCATCTCATTCATCATAAGCCTCAACCTTAAGATTGTATAGAGTGTATTTCAGGATAAAAGCATATGCATAATTTTTCAACTAAATAGTCTCTGTCAAGCTATATTTCTATTAAATAAACTATACATCAATTAAATTTAAACCCAACGTATCAAGGTATATTGAAGCAACGTCGAGCCTGTTTAGTACCGAGATAAATGATCGCTTGAGAATAGCAAGTGCTGTAAGCTTGGATGTGTTAGTGGTAAAATGGATAATGCCTAGGAATTGTTAATCAAAGAGACGAGGTCTAATTCTTATTGGGTTCTCGTAGGCATATCTTAGACATCTATCTATCTATTTTTGGCATCAGTTCATATATATCTGTCTATCTATCTATCTATCTATCTGTCTCATCAGATCATATCTATCTATCTATCTCATCAGGTCATATCTATCTATCTATCTATCTCAGTATATTCATTTTAATAGAGCTATTACAAGTCTGTTGATATCAAGGTCCATTCTTATCTTTCTGTCTGTCTATTTATCTCTCTCACTATGTTAAGTTAGATAGATCTATCTATCGCAAGTCTGTTAATATCTATCAACGTCTGTTCTTATCGATTTATCTGTCCATCGATCGATCGATATATATAAATCTGTTCAAATCTATCACAACCTTTGCAAATCTATCTCAATTTGTTCAAATCTATCTATCTATCTATCTATCTATCTATCTATCTAAATCTCTTCAAATGTATCTATTTATCTATCTATTTGTTCAAATCTATCTATAAATTCAAATTTATCTGTTTGCTCAAGTCTATCTATCTATCTATCTATCTATCTATCTATCTATCTATCTATTTGACTGGACTCGTGGCCGAGTAATTGGAACATTCACTTTTCTCCCCTGAATCCGCGCTTCGTCTCTTCCCGTGGTTGGTTTGTCGTTGCTGTGACTTTTAATGTTATCAGTCTGCAGTTACGCTTCTCCTTTAACCACACTTGGGAAATTCACTTCTTCTCCTCCCAGCTGTGGGTTAATTAGTAAGAGTCAGTTATATGTCATGCGTGATACACGCTTAGGCGATCATGTATCTTTCGATACATGACTGATGAGGTAGGTTTTTCCCGCAGTAGGTTGCCATTTCTTTCTGCGGTAGACCAGTTGCCATCCAAGGCTATAGAACCCTGTCTGTCCTGCTATTTAACCATAGATTGGGGGGGAGAACAAGAGGATTCATACCTTTCCCAAGGGTATTAGCACGTAGATGAATGTAATGGATTTGACTGGAATTCGAACTCAGCTCTCTGATTTCTCAATCCAAGCCGCTATCCATTACTCCACAAACCTCTGTTTTCGGATTTCTTAATTGTGAAACTGCCTCCTAATTTCTTGCTTTCTTGCCAATTGGATCTTGTTACGGTTTTTTGGGTATATACTATATATAACTAGTGAGCGAGTCAGAATGACTTATTTCCCTTTACAGTCGACCAATAGAAGGTTGACCAATCAGAAGCCGCACAACACTGTATTCATCGTGTATAAAGGCGGCCATCTTTGTTTCTCCTAGCGGGAGGACCAGAGGCAACTTGTCCGGCGAACATGACAGACGGAAGAACTACGCTCTGCTACTTAATATCCACTGCGAACCTGCACTACGCTTTCCTACTGTCTCCGAAATATTCACTGCCAACCTCTGGATTCTATACTCAAGGACGACCGTCATGAAAATGTCTAACAGATCTAACCTACAATCTTCAGAAATTTGAATGCAAAGCCCTTTTTATTTATTAACTTTTACCGAGCAAAAATACATTACATTAGTTTAAGAAAATTTATAAGTAGAGTCACATCAAAACAACATGATTTATGGTTAATGTTATAAAGTATCTGTTTATATTTCTGAGATGAGGTATTATGTACACTATTTACATTATTCCTACTATTGTCCTCATCTTTGTCGCCATATTTATTACAATTATTTATTGTTGTTCGCTCCAGCCTTCTTCAGGTGGTTGGAATGTTCGCTCACTGGGGTAGACTATTCTAGTTCCACGTGCCATGCCTAACAGTTATCTACTGCTAGTTCCCCTTTCCAAGTTCTCCTCCGCCTTAACCAGGTATTGAACTCACACTCTTTGGGTCCTGGCACTGGATCTAACTAACTTTATCCACTGTGCCATGTGTGTATGAATTTCTGTGTATTATAAACCTAATGTCTTCAGCAATCATTTTTTATCACTGCTCATATTGAAATTTTTGCTGTTATTATCGCTTTTCTTTAGCACTCCTTATTACTGGTTCCCATATTGTATCCATTTCTATGCTTGGTCGGCTCAGGAAAATTTTGTGGCCTAGCATATATGATGATTCCTTAAGTTTACGAATTTTCCAATGATGTTCTTTGTCTGCCAACACTTGAGTTTGAACATAAATCGCCGGTGAGCAAACACAGGCGATCCCATTATTGAATTAAGTAGACCCCGTGAGCATAGAGGAAACGCGTATAAGTAGCTGACAACTTACGATCTATATTTCTAGTCTATCCTCTATTCGGATCACCATTTCTACTCTGTCCTCTATTACTATACAGACCGCTATTCTCTACTCTATTCAATATACTATTTCTCTATGTTGATCACGGATTACTATTCGAGCGAGTATTATCGAGCAAGTACTAATAGTGCAAGTGCTATTCAAAAGCGTCAGCCGCCAGAACTGTTCAACAGCATACTATATTTGTATCTGCGATTACAAAGTCTCTACTACAACGAGCATTACGAAACTGACAACGAGTATTCGTTGACATCACAAAAGTTACAAATTATTTAATATGTTCAAAATGCCCTCCTTCATGTCGAATACAACGCTGAAACCCCATATGCAATGCTTCTACAAAGCATTTGACACAATTCTACCTCAATTTCAGATTTATCACAAATTGCCTGTTGCGATTCGGTAATTGTTTTCACTTAGAATGCGTAAACAAGATATTTCAGTAAGCCTGACTAAAGAGAGTCTGGTAATGTTAGGTCTGGAGATCGTGATGGCCATTCAATTAATCCATGCCGTCCTATGCACGTTAGCTCGGAAGTAAGATTTAACTATTCTCCTGTTAATCTTAAGCCATCTTAAACAACTGTAATTTAGTTTTGCTCAATAAATTTAATAAATAAAAAGGGCGTTACTTTTGCCACACCCTGTATATTGTTATATAATAATATAGTATAAATATTTTTCTATATTTTATATTGAAGCTTTTTTATTATTTCATATATTATTATCCTACAAATAATTATTATTGATCCGTCTCTCTCCCTTTCTCACTTGATATTCAGCTGTTTTTGCAAGGAGTGCTTCCCTTGAATGTGTTTTTCATTGTTACACACACACACACACACACACACAGATATATATATATATATATATATATATATATATATATATATATATATATATATATAAAGAGAATAGCTTATAGTAGTTCCAACGTGAGAAAAGTGTGTATATTAAAAAGAAGAGAGAAAACGCAAAGGTTTTGCTTGTAATGTGGATTTTTTTTTATAAATATTATGCTTTATTTTCCGTAATTTTGTTACACGGGTTTCCGGTCTCGCGATCTTCATCAGGCAAAAAGTTTGGGTCATTTGGGCCACTAATACTCAAAAAAGAGAATGTCTCATATCGAGAATATTTAGCATCGATAAACATAAAGGAAAAAATTATTTTAATAATATGTGGAAATCTCCCGCTTTGCCCTGATGAAGATCGCGAGACCGTAGCACGTGTAGCAAAATTATGGAAACAATCCATAATATTTTTTTTTTTAAATCCACACTACAAAAAACGTTTGCGGTTTCTGTCTTTTTTATATATATATATATATATATATATATATATATATATATATATATATATATATATATATATATATATATATATAGTTGGACTGTGTGAGTTTGTGACCATGACGATCACAAGGGCGTGTAATCCAGGGTGACAAACTCACATCAATCCTACTAAATATGTTAGCTCTATCACTGATATTGAGCTCCACACGATGTAAATAAGGCAACATGCCATACACAAATGATATTATTATTAATAATAATCATAAAAGACATAGAGGAGTATACAATATAATAGATATAAACATTTCCACAATAAACATTTCAGATTTGTGATTTCAAAAGTTAAACACAGATCTTACATATGAAGCAGCTTTCTTTTATGGTAAAAAAAGCTCAGTTTTCGGTAGGTTTTCGATTTGCTAAAGAGCACAGGGTAGGATGGGGGTCTCTCTCTCTCTCTCTCTCTCTCTATATATATATATATATATATATATATATATATATATATATATATATGTATATATAAATAAAAAGAAAGAACAGTAAGATATATAATCCAGTGTTCTTATAGATATTTTTATTTTTACAAAATAGTGCTCAATGTAAATTTACAGCGCATTAATATATAGTCTATAAAAACTAACAATGAAAATATTTTAAAGTTGTAATTAAAATTGTAGTTAATTAAAATGAATTCTAACCTAAACTTCTTTTAAATTGTAATTAAATAAATAAATAAAGTTTACTAAATCAGAGAAATGAATTAGCTATTTTTGCCGTAAGTGAAAATTTTTTTACTTAAAAAATATTTAAATATAAAACTTTTAAAAATCGTAATATACATATACTTGATATGGAAAAATAATCTTACTTAATATAAGTAATCCTGATACATTTACCTCTATTAAATGAAATATAGTCTATAAAAACTAACAATGAAAATATTTTAAAGTTGTAATTAAAATTGTACTTAATTAAAATGAATTCTTACCTAAAGTTTTTTAAATTGTAATTAAATAAATAAATAAAGTTTACTAAAACAGAGAAATGAATTAGCTTTTTTGCCGTAAGTGGAAAAAAAAAATTTACTTAAATAATATTTAAATATAAAAAATTTAAAAATCGTAATATACTTGATGTGATAATAATTCTACAAACTGTAAGGGATTCTAATTACATTTAATTGTTCTTGAAAGATATATAGTATATTAAAAATTAAAAGTAAAAATATTTCAAATCGTAGTTAAATAAAAAGTATTCTAACCTAAACACCCCCTAAAAATCTTTAAATATACGAAGGAAAAAATGCCGTAAGAATCTTTGCCGTTAACAATAAAATGTAAAAAAAAAATCCAGACGACACGCTTTTAACGGATGTTAGATTTCATTGAAAAATCCCTACCCACTACCAAAACGTAGCAATAACTGATACATTAAAATATAGACATATTAAACACCCAGACACACCTCGTCTAGTAAAATGAATTCATCTGTAACCTTGGAAACATGAATTATGATTTTAGCTGTGTCTTGAAAACCCAGTCATTTTAAAAGTTACTCCAAAATTCGCTTGAGGAGGAAATGGAACTAATGTCTTTAATTTAATTCCAAAATTAAATTCGAGGCTTTTAGCTTCCATTTTTGAAACATGGTTAGAACTGTGTAGCGGAAAAACAAAAATCAATTTTATAATATATATATATATATATATATATATATATATATATATATATATATATATATATATTGCATAATAAAACATAAGAACTGTGCTCAATTTAAAATATACAAAATTATATCTGCAGAGACAATATAAAAATGTAAAATATATATATATATATATATATATATATATATATATATATATATATATATATTCAAAATATTCTATGTGGACACCCAGTTTGATATGCGGTCGTGTCACAATCTGCTAGAGATGCAAGTGTCAAGATACTCAATTTGTATATTTATTAAATAGTTGTTATATGCACATACACACTCACACACACACACACACACATACACACAC